GTCCACTTGCTCAGTGGGACAAGCGAAGAAATCTCCCATAGAGCAAACAGATTGGCTGGCAGGTCTGCCCTGTCTGAAATGGGCCTAACACAGCCCTGGATAGAAGTAAAAACCTGCCAGGGATTCTTACGCTTTCCAACTCCTTCTAATACTAAAAAAGTTTTGGTTAAGCAAGCACTTTGAAAGACTTACAGTCACTGTTGTGGTATTTTATATATCAGGTTCTGTCATAAGGCATGCAGCAAAATTTCCGTGGCCGAAACGTTTCAGCCGAAAACACCCCTATCGGCCGTTGGCCGATATGAAAATAAGCAATGAAACAGGTGCTGAAAATAACCCTGCCCCCTTGCCGCCACTGGTGCCACTTGACACCACCCGCCGCTGCTCGGTAGTTCTCAGCCTTAGTTGAAACACCACCAAATGATCCTGGCACTGGGCATAGAGATAAGTGAAGGAAAGATGGCCTCCACTCATCGCCATAACCATGGAGGACCGGAGCGATGTCACTTGCAGTTCTGACGCCTTGTAAACAAGGCCATTTTTTTTTAAAGCACTAGATCAATGCTTTTTTTGCTAGAGGATAGATGTGGGGTCTTATTGACCCATATCTCTCCATAAAAAGGACCTGTCACTAATTATTTCTATCACAAGGGATGCATGTATTCCTTTTGATAGGAATTAAAGTAATTAACATTTTTTTTAAAGGCACAGTGAAAAAAAAAAATGTAAAAAAAAAGTTTAAAGTGCTTCTGTCCCCCCTCGTGCTCACATGTAGTGGTGAACGCATATGTAGGCCACGCCCACACATGTAAATGGTGTTCAAACCGCACATGTCACGTATTGCCACGAACGCCAGAGTAAGAGCAATAATTCTAGCACTAGACCTCCTCTGTAACTTTACACTGGTAACCTGTAGAAATGTTTAAAGTGTCACCCATGGAGAATTTTTAAGTACCGTAGTTTGACGCCATTCCACAAGCGTGCGCAATTTTAAAGCATGACATGTTGGGTATCTATTTACTCGGCGTAACATAATCCTTCATATTTTTCAAAACAATTGGGATATATAATAATAATTAAACTACTTTTTTCCAAAAAAATTGCTTTTGAAAAATATATTAATTTTTAAAAATTGTCCATTTCAGTTTTTGACCATTTGCATCCTCAATTTTCGATTTCGGTACCAGAATTTTCATTTCGATGCACCACTAGTTAGCATTTGTCTACTGACCTTTACATTGTAGCCTATATGGTACACCTATAGCACACAATATTACAAGTCATTATATGGGCTACAACTCACATTTAACCACTTGACCTCCGGAAAGGTTTTAGCCCTTCATGACCTGGGCATTTTTTGCTATTTAGCACTTTGCTAATTTAACTGGTAATTGCTTGGTCATGCAACACTGTACTCAATTAACACATATCTTTTTTTTCACACACATAGAGCTTTCTTTTGGTGGTGTTTGATCACCAATGGGCTTTTTATTTTTTATTATATAAATGAAAAAGACCAAAAAGTCTGAAAGAGTCCTAGAGGACTTTGTGTTGTCATATGTTGATGGTATCAGTTTGACATCAGTTTGAGATGCCTTTGAGAGATTTCCTTGGCAGGTGCATATGTCCTCCTTCTGCCTGCTTAAAGCAGGTTTGACATTACCCTAGACTTGTATGAGAATGCAAAATCAGACAGGAACAAAACTCAGTTGACAAAACCACTAAAACAATGTACTTCCGCGTTTCTTTTTTTATATTTATAAAAAGCCATGTGGAATACAGCTGTTAAGCCAGTTGGATGAATGATCATAGTGTTATTCTATTCTGCCTCTAGTGGCTAATCTGAAAATCTTTTAATTTAGTACAATAACAAAATGTACAGGTGAAACTCAAAAAATTAGAATATCGTGCAAAATTTCTTTTATTTCAGTAATGCAACTTAAAAGGTGAAACTAATATATGATATAGACTCATTACATGCAAAGCAAGATAGTTCAAGCTGTGATTTGTCATAATTGTGATGATTATGGCTTACAGCTCATGAAAACCCCAAATCCACAATCTCAGAAAATTAGAATATTGTGAAAAGGTGCAATATTCTCGGCTCAAAGTGTCCCACTCTAATCAGCTAATTAAGCCATAACACCTGCAAAGGGTTCCTGAGCATTTAAATGGTCTCTCAGTCTGGTTCAGTAGGAATCACAATCATGGGAAAGACTGCTGACCTGACAGTTGTGCAGAAAAACCATCATTGACACCCTCCATAAGGAGGGAAAGCCTCAAAAGGTAATTGCAAAAGAAATTGGATGTTTCCAAAGTGCTATATCAAAGCACATTAATAGAAAGTTATGTGGAAGGGAAAAGTGTGGAAAAAAAAGGTGCACAAACAGCAGGGATGACCGCAGCCTGTAGAGGATTGTCAGGAAAAGGCCATTCAAAAGTGTTGGGGACTTTCACAAGGAGTGGACTGAGGCTGGAGTCAGTGCATCAAGAGCCACCACACACAGACGGATCCTGGACATGGGCTTCAAATGTCGTATTCCTCTTGTCAAGCCACTCCTGAACAACAAACAACGTCAGAAGCGTCTTACCTGGGCTAAAGAAAAGCAGACCTGGTCTGTTGTTCAGTGTTCCAAAGTCCTCTTTTCTAATGAGAGCAACGTTTGCCATCTCATTTGGAAACCAAGGACCCAGAGTATGGAGGAAGAATGGAGAGGCACACACTGCAAGATGATTGAAGTCCAGTGTGAAGTTTCCACAGTCTGTGTTGATTTGGGGAGCCATGTCATCTGCTGGTGTTGGTCCACTGTGCTTCATTAAGTCCAGGGACAACACAGCTGTCTACCAGGAGATTTTGGAGCACTTCATGCTTCCTTCCGCAGATGAGCTTTATGGAGATGCTGACTTCATTTTCCAGCAGGACTTAGCACCTGCCCACACTGCCAAAAGCACCAAAACCTGGTTCAATGACCGTGGGATTACTGTGCTTGATTGGCCAGCAAACTCGCCTGACCTGAGCCCCATAGAGAATCTATGGGGCAAAGAGAAAGATGAGAGACATGAGACCGAACAATGCAGAAGAGCTGAAGGCCACTATTGAAGCATCCTGGTCTTCCATAACACCTCAGCAGTGCCACAGGCTGATAGCTTCCATGCTACGCCGCATTGAGGCAGTAATTGCTGCAAAAGGGGCCCAAACCAAGTACTGGGTACATATGCATGCTTATACTTTTCAGAGGTCCGATATTGTTCTATGTACAATCCTTGTTTTATTGATCGCATGTAATATTCTAATTTTCTGAGATTGTGGATTTGGGGTTTTCATGAGCTGTAAGCCATAATCATCACAATTATGACAAATCACGGCTTGAACTATCTTGCTTTGCATGTAATGAGTCTATCTCATATATTAGTTTCACCTTTTACGTTGCATTACTGAAATAAATGAACTTTTGCACGATATTCTAATTTTTCGAGTTTCACCTGTATAAGAATACGCATGAAAATTTTTAAAGTTATAAAAAAAATTACTTTAGGGTACACACAGCAATAATGTTTCAAAATATGTTCATTGAAAACACTCTGAGGACAATTTATCAACACAGGAGCAGACAGAATCTGGAGCAGCTGTGCAAGGCAACCAATCAGCTTCTATCTTTAATTTTCAAAGCTTAACACGAAACTAAACTCTTCTCATCTTTTACAGCCAAGGAAGCTGCCATCTTGGCCTCTGTTTAATCTGCAATTGCCTTGGTGCCGCACGTGATCAGTTATGACACCAGCTATTTGAAGGCTTGACAGTTCAGTTGAAAGTACAAGAGTTTTGGGAATCCATTTAAACAATGGGTTTAGCTTTGTTTTAACTGAACAAGCTGAAGTTAGAAGCTGATTGGTTGCCATGCACACCTACTCCAGATTTTGTCTGCCCCAGTTTTCATAAATTCCCCTCACTGGGTGCGTTCCACCTTCCCAGCCTCTCTCCAAGCTCTCCTTCCAACTGGCTGATGTTGGTGTACTGCAATAATAAACAAACATAGGGTTCACTGGGCTAGTGCATTATCCTTTTAAATAGCTTTAATAAATAAAAAGGTAAGTATTATACTCACAAAAGGAATAAAGGTACATGTTCATCTCATGAAAACAGCACAAACATCAAGATGTGACAAAACGATAGAACTTCAACAGTATGACGCGTTTCGAGGATTTATCCTCTTCCTCTGAGCCCACAAAACTGTTAGTTGCTCCTAGACTGATATATGGCGTGTGAAGTCAAACCCACCAATCATTCCAGTGGTGTTACCAGGCTGTCTGTGGGAGGGGATTAACTCTGTGTATCCCAAAACACTAAGAGACAGCCCCTTTATATGTTATTGTGTTGCAGACTGTAAAGAGCATGCATGACCACAACGCAATAACACCATCATCCAATATATATAAGTACTGCATGGTAAGAGAATTAAATAATAAGACAATGAAGTGAATAGGGTTTACCCAGGGGCAGACTGACCATTTGGAAACTCGGGTACTGCCTGAGGACCCGGGTCAGTATGGGGCCCCATGAGATGCCCCTGGTACCTTTTTCATAGGATTTTTTGAGTTTGGCCAAGGACACAGCGGCCCCATGATCCCCTATTGCCCAGGGGGCCCCATGAGTTGTCAGTCCGCCCCCTGCTAAACCAGATGCAGATATTACTTGTCCTATAAGCATGTTTGCATTTCTATTTGGCCTCAGACCCTTGCTGTGTGTGCTCATGTCCCACATGGAAATGCGGGCTCCCCACGTACTCCCACCCCCACCTATGTTCCAAGCATCCAGTATTACTGATGGTATGTGATGATAATCAATTGGAGTGGTCTGAATGACAAGAGACCACTAAAATGTGATAGTAGGACTCCGGGCAGGGGGTGCCCAACCGCCACAGATCCTCCATACAACGGGGTGCTCCAGCTTGCAATGATGGTGCGTTCAAACATGATACGCAAACGAACTGCACATGGCAGACCATTCGTGGTCTCGGTTGCCAATCACCGGGTCCTGGCCTGTGATTCCCCGCCGGCACACGGCGATCTCCGAGAATTACCAAAGGGGGAGAGACCTGTGTATAAACAATACAAATCTCTCCCTTGTCAGCTCGTGCACATTGCTTTGTATGGCTCTGCATAGCAGAGCCATACAAAACAATCTGCTTACAGTGAAAAACAGACACACAGCACGCAAGGAAAAAGAGCACACAATTAATCCTTTGATCTCCCCACATGGTAACCCCTTGCCCAGTGCCATTAGTACAGTGTCAGTGCTTTTTATTAGCACTGATCACTGTGTTGGTGTCACAGGGGATGTCAGTGACACCTAGTCAGTTCTCCCCAGGGTCAGAATGCTGCCGCACTCCTGCTATAAGTCACTGATCGCCGTCATATTTAATAAAAAAAAAAAAAAAATTCCAGTATATAAACTGACATTTGTAAATGATGTAACTTTCACGTAAAACAATTAATTTACACGTATTGGGATTTTTATTTAGCAAAGACATGTGAAAGAATACATTTTGGTCTAAATGTATGACAAAATTTGATTTTTAAAATTTTTTTACTGGACATGTTTAATAGCAAAAAGTAAAAAAATTTTTTTTCTTAAAATTGTTGCTTTTTTTTATACCGTAAAAAATAAAAAACACACAGGCGATCAAATACCACCAAAATAAAGCTCTATTTGTGGGGAAAAAAAGGACACAAAATTAATTTGGGTGCAGCGTTGCATGACTGCGCAGTTGTCAGTTAAAATAACGCAGTTCCGTATCACAAATAATGGCCTGGTCAGGAAGGGGAGTAAATCCTCTAGAGAGCAAGTGGTTAAGGGGAAGGCATGATTTATATGCTTACTTGCACTTATATGTGTAAAATACTGGCCAGTAATGCAGATGTGGCTACATGCACATGGGTGCATTACATGAGCATAAAGACAAAGCATATTTTTGGTGTCTAGGATGCCAGGAGCTACGTACAACCACCCATAAAAAGGAATGGTTGAAGGTACGCTATTTGCATAAATTAGCGCATGCCCACAGATGTAAAGCACAATACTCACACAAGGTGTGTTCAGTGCATTACATCTGTGTGCATGTACTACTTTGAGCAAGTAGCTGTCTACAGCAGCCTTTCTCAACCAGGGTGACCAGGCACCCTGGGTGCCTTGGCAAAATGTCTAAAAATTGCTCAAAACTTGTATACAAGCCAGTGGGTGGAACAAGCCTGCCTTTTAGTTACACAACACCACAGGTTTTCTTGTGCACCATTACGACCTTCTACCCACCAGTGTCCTGACAACCAATGACATTATCAGTTGCTAAGGAGGTTGTCAGCCGCTTGCATAGCATCCTAGTTTGACCCTCCCCTGCCCCTCTCCATCAGTGCTGGGGTCACGTTAGCGCAATGATGGAGAAAAACTGAGGGAGAAGAGAAACATTGGAATACTAGTCAGTACCAGTGTGCAGAAGTGTGTTTGCTTTGGAAGAATAAATCACCTCTGATGTTGGGTGTCCAACGTGTGTGGATGTTGCTGCGTTATATAAAACTATTAGAATAGTTTTTTACATTTTAGAATAGGGTGGCCTTTTTTAAAATTATGGACAGTCTTGAGGCACTCCATTTTAGAAGGGGGTGCCTCAAGACTGTCCATAATTTTAATCAGTGCCTGGGGACTGTCCATAATTTTAATCAGTGCCTGGGGACTGTCCATAATTTTAATCAGTGCCTTGACTGAAAAAAGGTTGAGAAACACTGGTCTACAGCCATCTTTACCCATTCATGTCTATGGGCAGATGTATGCAGCTGTAGGGCATCCTAGATACCACGGTGCAAATGAGCAAATGGCCCATGTACATAATGCCTTTTTGTATTTTTTTTTTCACTGATTTAAACATTACACTAGTTCACTGATATTTATACTTCTGTGCTTACAGGCCCATTGAAAGCAATGGGCTATAATCACATTACAAAAAAATGCCAGAACACCTAAAAATATGTTTTTTGGTGTCTGTGTCCAAAAGCCATTATAATTATAATTCATTATTGTTTATATTTTATCCTGTAATATCTATGCATTGTAATATTTGCCTGTTGTGATATAGACCAAGGATCTCCAGACTTTCTGAAAAGTGGGATATAGTTTACTGACTCTCAGACTTCAGGGGATGGACAGTGAGAGTAAAAAAATTACATCGAAGCTGAGGTAAGTGGGGGGAGGAATAGTGCCCCATCATTGGTATTAGGCCCCTTTCACACTGGTGTACTTTTGCCATCCTTTTCCAAGGTGACCAAAGGTTATGAAAACTATTCCCCATGAAATCCTATGTAACTGTTCACACTGCAGGTGTGCTGCACTTTGAAAAGTGAGAGAAATAATGTCCCATCATTAGTCTTAGTGAGAGTAATAGTGCCTCAGCATTGGTATTAGTGAGATAAATAGTGTCACATCATTGAAATTAGTGGGAGGAATAGTGCCCCATCATTGGTATTAATGGGAGAAATTGGTATTACTGGGAGGAAAATTTCCCTTATCATTAGTATTAGTAAAAGTGCCACATGATTGGATTTAGTGGGAGAAATAGTGCCCCATCTTGGTATTAGTGAGAGGAATAGTGCCTCATCATTGGTCTTAGTGAGAGGAATACTGTCCCATCATTGGTATTGGAGGGAGTAATAGTGTCCCATCATTGCTATTAATGGGACAAAATTTTCCCTTATCATTGGTATTAGAGAGAGAAATAGTGCTCCTTCATTGGTATTAGTGAGAGAAATAGTACCGCATCATTGATATTAGTGAGAGGAAAAGTGCCCCATGATTGGTATTAGTGAGAGGAATAGCACCCCATCATTGGTATTAGTGAAAGGAATAGTGCCCCATCGTTGGTATTATTGGGAGAAATAGCTCCCCATCATTGGTATTAGTGAGAGGAATACTGTCCCATCATTGGTATTAGTGAGAGGAACAGTACCCTATCATTGGTATTATTGGGAGGAATAATGCCTCATCTTTGGTATTAGTGAGAGGAATAGTGCCCCATCATTGGTATTAACGAGATAAAAATTTCCCTTATCATTGGTATTAGAGAGAGGAATAGTGCCCCTTCATTGGTATTAGTTAGAGAAATAGTGCCCCATCATTGGTATTAGTGGGAGGAAAATTTCCCTTTATCATTGGTATTAGTTAGAGAAATAGTACTGCATCATTGGTATTAGTGGGAGGAAAATTTCCCTTTATCATTGGTATTAGCTAGAGAAATAGTACCCCATCATTGATATTAGTGAGAGGAAAAGTGCCTCATCATTGGAAGTAGTGGGAGGAATAATGCCCCATCATTGGTTTTAGTAGGGGTAACAACACCCCATCATTGGTATTAGTGGGGGAATAGTGCCCCATCATTGGTATTAGTGTGAGAAATAACCTCCCATCATTGGTATTAGTGAAAGGAATAATGCCCTATCATTGGTATTAGTGAGGGAAATAGCACACCATTATTGGTATTAGTGGGGAGGAAATTTGGAGACCACTGGTATAGACTGATGCCTACTGGCCTTACCATGTACCCATATGTTCCCGTGTACTGCCAAGTTATTTTATTGATATATTCCATTTACTATTTTGGCAGTCATTGATTAATTCTACTGTAAGATCCAGCATTAGATCATTGATCTTACTGGTATATTCCATTTGCTATTTTGTCAGTCCTTGTTTAATTCTACTGTAAGATCCAGCATTAGATCATTGATCTTATTATGTTAAACTTAATACACATAAATTTGTTTCAGAGATGGGCTGGTGGCCTTACAATGTAAATGACAGTTTCAGTGTTTTTCTATATTGTTTAACGGGGCTTCAGCCAAGTGCAATCTATCTCTTTAGGAAGCTGAAAAAAACACATTCATGCTGCCTTGTCCATTTCAATAAACATATGTGTTTTGAATGTCCATTTAAAAGCATGTTGTGTAAACCTAGTGGTTGTACTACAGCTGATGTATAGAGAGTTATACCTGTAGTTAGTTTTAAACTGCTATCGTAGAGATACCAGGAGGCTTGATAGCCTCAAATATTGGGTCATATCATCAATCATTGAGTGACGCACAGGAGACTGGAACACAGTGATACTCTATTTTTAAAGGATCAGAAAGTCCTTTATGTATTCTTCTATTCTTCTATGGATGTTCTGAAATTCAGGGTTTGCTTCAAATGATCCTTTTTGTTTTCAGTAGAAATTAGTAATGTGTAGACATAGGTGAGCCAAAGGTTAATTAGCCCCATTTCACACATGAGCGTTTTTTCTCTTGTGATTCCTGTGACAATGCTCAAGATGAAGAATCCCAGAAAGAGAAAATATAAGATCTAAAATGGTAACATAACAAGGGTTAAGCCTCAATCCAAAATGTATTTTTTTTTTGGTTTTGAATATAAATTAAAAAACTCCACTATATGTTTATGACCCATTTGCAAGAAAAAGTATGTGAACCCCTTGGGATTACGTGGGTAGTTTTGCATGATTAGCGCTGTCAATTTACGCAGCTGAATGTCAGCTAAGTCATTCAGCAATAGTCCCTAACCCTCAGTCGCACAATCTAAGGTAAAAACATATATATTTTAAAGTGATCCTAAAAGGCTTTTATTTTTTAAGAAAAAAAACAAACATGTCTATACTTACCTGCTGTGTGTAATGGTTTTGCACAGAGCTAATGGAGCCTCCTCTTCTCAGGCCCCTGTGGTGATCCTGGCCCCTCCAATCCTTTTGATGCCCCCACTATTGCATGTGTTGCTATGGGGGCACTGTCCTGCCCATTAGGTCCATTCACACACGGTTTTGGGCCAACTGGTTTGAAGCACTCTCTGATGTGAGCTCACTGGCTGTGCAGCCAATAAGAGCTCTCTCAGGACACGATCAAGAATTGGTGACATTGCATGAAGCTGAAGGGGGCTTAGGTCAAAAGTATTAGGGATGTTCTGTGTCCACGGTAAGACATGCTGTCTACAAATGAGAAGGTTTTTATGCCTTCTCATAGAATGCATGAAGGTAAAACACCTTGAACCTTTAGAACCACTTTAAAAAATATGTCTTACCTATTAGATGTGTCTCAAGAGAAGATGTCATGGCTGACTGCAAGGTGGTTTTTATAACAGTGTTAGAGTGAGCCTTTCCCAAGTCTGTCCTTATTAGCATAAAATGCAAGAAACACAATGTTTCTACATTTTTAACCTTTTGTCAGGACAGACAGGGTTCAAAGCTAGTTACAATTGACAATGAAGATATGCCTGCAAAGCTACAGATGGGGTTAAGCTAGGACTACCTAGGATTATTTTCCTACTGGAAAGTCCAGAGTAGAGCACCAAAATAAGGTAAGGTGCAATGGTAAATATTTTG